AATCTAATACCACTATTTTTTTTAAATAGTTGGGTTTTAATATCACCTTTTGTGCTGCATCACTGCCTGTAAATTGCAGGCCAATGGGGGTGAATGTCCCCAAGTCGGACTCCATGACAAGGTCAAAGTTAGACATGTTTACCTGTGTGCAGAGAGGACGCAAAAAGGGGGAACATGTCATTATCAGAGATAAAAGGTGAAAGAAAGCAAACCGAACCAAAGTACTCGCAAACAAAGCATACACACTCAGCCAGCCACTATAAGTACCTTGAGCAGCTGCCTTAACTAATTTAGGCAATTTAAAACGTAATTATACATCAAATGTAAGAACTGGACCAGTCCCACGGGCAGTTATGGTACACTGGTGTTTCTGTTTTTTAAAACGCAGTATATTACAGGTCAGGGCCTAGTGTGCAGCAACAACTCCAAAGAAGGAAATTGTAAGACTCCAGATTCTTATTTAGATCCTTTGCACAGGAAAAACATGGGAGCTAGCCAAGTCCCTTCAGTTTGGTGGAAGTGCCTTTTTAAACTGCCTTTTCACAGTTGTGACCCTTCCTGCTTTTTGGGCAGCTGGAATAACATTGGCTCCGTGCTTGTTTTCTACTGATTGGCACGGTAACAGCAGACAGTACCTTGTGTAGATTAAAGTATTGCTGTGCTCCGACTCCGCCCTGCTCCTCGGCTGTCCACAGCACTGTTCGCAAAGTTCTCCTTGGACGCAGACCTACGAAGAGATGAAGACACATACACAGTATAGAAAGAGGAGGATAACGGCTCCAAATATTAATAATGAAATTTTTCTTTTCTTTTTTTTTTTGTTGAATAAAAGATTTTTGTAGTCTTTGATTGATAACCCAGTCCTTGTCCAAGGCTCATTCAAGTAAATTGTCCACAAAAATACTGTACTTTATATGCAGGTCTGCCTCCTGTTGTAGTTGTGTGTATTTTGTTCCTCTGCAAACACTGGGGTGGAATTACTGTTTACAGTCAGAGGATTTGTTTTTCATTTTGTCCCTGTGTTTACAACTGGAAACTTTAGCTCCACTTAATGGTCTTTTTTTTTTTTAAATTGGTCTCAGTATCGCCACTGCTGGTTATTCTGCTTTCTGTGTCTGCACATACTGATTGTTTCCTCTCTTTTTAATGAACACATTCACTTTTTCATCTAATAGAATTATTAGATTTCATTGTAACTTTTGTGACTCAAATAAATAAAAATAAACAGAGGATGCTCTGCTAATCAAATGTAAAATGTTTTAGATTAATAACATGAATAGGTACGTTTGCCATCTCCTTTTTCTGATGAACATTTAAGCAAAACTAATAAACTTATGCTTTTATTGCATTCTACAATATGCACATGTTATTATTGCTGAAGTCTATCTGTGATTTACTGTAAGTATTTCTCTGTATATTACCAAGGTCTTTGATGAGTGACAGGGCCTCCCAGGAAATCATGGCTCCGCCTCCGTCATCCATGGCACCCTGGCCCACATCCCAGCTGTCCAAATGTCCGCTCAGTAAGACAACCTAGAGAGATTGTACAGATAAAGAGAAAATGTGTAATCTGAGGAAACAGATAGGCAGACAGTGCTGCCCAT